GCTCCATCTGCACAAACCTCACCCCCCGAGGACAAAAACTTCGGTGGTTCCAAACAAACCCAGAAGCGGAACCAGGTGCATCCCCTTGGTTATAGATGGGCCTGCCCAGCTGCTGTCCTACCCTGGGCCCCTGGCTCAGCAGAGCCTGGCTGCCCCCCTCCTCCCTGATGTGGAGCAGAGATCCCTCCCCTTCGGGACGTGCAGGCAGCAGTGGGATCCCCCATCAGCCCTGGTCGCTCTAGGGAGATTCTGAGACGCACAGGGCTCTGAATCGGTCTCCCCAGGGTGAGGGCCCTGTCCAGGCTCCAAACCTGAATGAAGAGCTGGCGGGGGAAGGGGCTGTCGCCTTACCGACTGTCTCTGGGCTCAGTGTCTCGCCAGGCTCTGGCTGTCCATGGGAGCTGCCAGGTCCCCCGTGCGTCTCCTCAGCTCCGTGCCTCCCTGCGTGCCCTGGAGTGAGCAGCCCTGTGTTACATCTGCCCAAAGGTGCCACCCATCATCCTGGGGACCTGGGAAGAGAGACCCTCCCATGACCAGCCGCACCCACCTTGCCAGGGTGTGTCCTCCTCCACCCCGCTCTGCACGGAGCAGCTGCCGCAGAACGGGCCAAGGCCTCCTGCTCACACCTGCATGAACCAGGAAGAACAGGATTAATTTCACTTCCCTGTTCCCCTAAAAGTGCTGCCCTAACAGCGACTGGCCACTCCCCCTTCTGTACCTGCCAGCTGCCTCCTGCTGTGGGCAAAGCTGTGGAGTCAGGAGGGACAAGGAGCCATGTCCCATCCTCATGTCAGCCGGTTCCCGTGCCACTGCCTCTCCTCAGCTCCAGCCAGGATCACGGGTGGTGGGTATCAGAGGTTGGGGGAGAGGGTCTGCATCTCCCTGTGATGGGCATCTGCCCTGCACTAGCCCTTTAAGGGTAAAATCTCAGCCCTGGCAAAGGGCTGAGCACAAAGCCCACAGCTGAGGCAAATATTACCAATTAGGGCCCAGCTGGGGGCTATATAAATAAGGGCTCCAGGAGGAGAGAGAAGATTGACTTTGCCCAGGTGAGAGAGCAAGGGGGGACCTGGCTGCAAGGGAAGCTAGGAGCTTCCTAGGGCAAGGCAAGGCAGGGCAGGGGAGCTCTGATTTGTCCTCACTCCCAGGCTACAGGGCCTGAGGCAAGGCCTAGTATACTGGCCTGCAGGGGGGCAATACTCCCCCTTTATTGAGAACACAATGGCAAAGCAGTTAGCATATGTTTACATAGACAGGTATGTGCACACACAGGCTGGCTACATCTAGACTACATCCCTTTTTTGTAAAAGGGATGTAAATTAGATGTATTGCAATTGCTAATGAAGCGGGGATTTAAATCTCCCCTGCTTCATTAGCATAAAAATGGCTGCTGCTCTTTTTTCCCACATGGAGCTTTGCTGGAACAAAGCACCAGTCTAGATGCTGATCTTGTGGAAAATAAAACCTTTTCTGGAAGGTCCCTTATCCCTCTTGAAATAAGGGACAAGAGATCTTCTGGAAAAGGCTTTATTTTCCGCATGATCAGCATCTAGACAGGCGCTTTGTTCCGGCAAAGCTCCGTGCAGGGGGGGAAAAAGCGGCAGCCATTTTTATGCTAATGGAGTGGGGGAGATTTAAATCTCCACTTCATTAGCAATGCGATACGTCTAATTTACATCCCTTTTATGAAAAAGGGATGTAGTCTAGACGTAGCCTTAATAGAAAAACTTTTCTGTTAAAAGTATTTCTGCAAAATCATGCCAGTCTAGATGCACCCGCTGTTATGAAGGCCAAAAGTAAGAGGGCTCAACAAAGAGCTAAATAAGTTCATGGAGGACAGGCCCGTCAGTGGAGGTTAACCAGGATGGGCAGGAATATATCCTGAGCTTCTGTCTGTTAGACGTTGGGAATGGGCGACAGGAGATGGATCGTTTGGTGATCCCCCGTTCACTCCTTCTGGGGCACCTGCATTGGCTGCTGCCGGCAGACAGGATACTGGCCTAGATGGGCCTTTGGTCTGACCCAGAATAGCTGTTCTTATGTTCTGCAACCAAAGGGATGAAGTCGGGAGGTCTGGGCAGAATTTGTGCAGGGGCCAAAGCATGTCCAGAGGAGCAAAAAACAAGGGAAGGGGAGGAATATATGGGCAAAATTAGAGACATGGGTGCAGGAGAGGTTTGGAGGTGCCCTGCCTGCACAGGGCAAAACCCAAAGATAGGGAGGGGGCTAAGGGGATCAAATTTACCACAAATGGGGTGAGCCATCTACCCTGGTTGCCAAAATACGTTGTGGATGGCTTGGGATTGCTGGCAGGGCCATCCCAGCCCTTCCCCCCTAATGTTACACAACTCCACACTCATGGGCAGTGGGTGAAGGTAGGGCAGGGAGAAGCAAGCCTCAGCCCACCCCCACAGGAGCCAAGCTGCCCCCTAGCACCACAGGGAAGTGGGGTAGCACAGAGCCCCAGCCTCCCCTGCCCTGGAGCACAGGGACAGCCGGTGCTTGTGTGCATTAACACTCTGCTCTCAGTACATCTAGTTAGCGTTCTGGGGACAGAGTGTAGGCAAGGCCAGGCTGGCGGTTTGGGAAAGCAAAGACTCCCCTGCCTATGATACCCGCCACCTCTGCCCATGCCTACCTACAACAGCTCTTCTCCGTCTGCAGTGGCACAATCAGCTGCCCACAGAAGGCGCCCACAGGGTAATACAACAACTGAGCAAGGATTTCGTGGCTTGCAGGAGCAGCTAAAACTTGGACCTGGGTGCCTATATCTGAGGGTGAGGTGCCTAAATCTCTTTGTGGAGCTGGATTCCAAATCACATACCAGGGCATTGGTCTTCTGATGATGCTACGTGCTTTAGAATATAATCAAACCATTATTTGTGGCGTTTGCCCTAGTGCACAGAAAAGCAGAAATACAAGACTTTTTAAAATCATTCTTGCATTGAGGTGTCCTGTGGCACCTGGCTATGTGAATTGGCTGGTACCGATACAGTCAGCTCAGCTGTGTCTGAAGAGAAGATCTGAATTGCCTCAAAGGACGATATAAGATGATTGCCAAGATCCCACTTCCTGTTAGTTTACTTTCAAATTCAGCCTGTGCTGCAAGAGGAAATCAGAGGAAGTAGTTTTGAATAACAGCACTACAAATTATTTAAAAGCCTGGAAGAAAACAACAGTGATTATCATCCACACGCTCTTGTTTTGTAGCCAAAATCAACTGCACATTGATTAAATGACATAGTCCTTAAAATACAAGCTAGCCCCACAAACCAGATAAAGAGTTTAATTTTCAATAGACTTTATATATTTTTATAGCGTGTAATAAACCATCTTTTTTTTTTCTGAGCTTGAGGGGTAACAGCACAAAGTTAAGAAATCTGAGGAGACTTGGTTTTGCTCTTTCTGAAACCCTCCATTGTGTATAGTCAAAGTACATTTCAGACCATTTCCCTAACAGTCCCACCAGTTTTTTACAGCTTGTTGATTTAGTTCTTGATTTTGTTCCAGCTTTATCCTGTACTTGGTGAAGGCAAAGGGAGATTTGTAACAAACAGACTTCCTGTATTTGGACTAAGAAAGAAATAACCCCACCCACCCTTCTTGTTGCTTCCTGTCTGTTCTCTCTGCAGTTTTCTACCTCTGACTGTACTTTTTGTTTCTGATACTTTCACAGGAAGTCTAATTAAAACCACAATCAATCAAACAGAATAATCCTTTGTGCATTTAAAATCAACAGTAATGAAATGTGCCCACAGCCTAAGCAGCTGTCACAGTATGTTGCGGAGTAGGGATGGAATGAATTGCTGAACGGGAGGTCAGAGTCCTGCATGAGATTAGCCAACAAGGAGGGGCAGTCTCCCCTTTTTGTGTGTATGCACTAAGTGCACTACAACACTGGAGGAATCTGTACGACACACCATATTTTTATCCTGTCAGCAAGTCAGTGTTGCCTTGAAGAGTTGCGGCCACGTTGTTGTGGAAGGGTGGCTCCCAAGGGTGAGTTTTATGAGGTGTGGCAACACTTCAAAATGCTACAGTGGCACCGGGTAGCAGCTCGGTGTAGACACAACCTGTGCTTCTGGGTAGAAGTTGCCTGCTGGCATAGGTCATTGGCTGCCCAAGAGGTGAAACCTACATTAGTGGAAGAATTCTGCCAACATAGTGCTGTCTACATGGGGTCTCAGACAAGCTTAACAATTTGGCCCAGGGAACAGCCTGCTGCTGCTGGCCTGTTCCATTTTAAATTATTTCTGTGAGCACTTTGCTGTTGTTTACAGCCCCACCCTTATTTGGTCTCTGAGTCCAAGCTCATTCCCATGCTCTCAGCTGGCTTTACATTACAAGCTAAGAAACACTCCACAAGTTATGACACTTTCAATATGTTAACCTCGTTGAATTTAATAGGCCTGATCACATATTTAAAATTAAGTATGTGCTTAAGTGCTTTGTGGGAGCAAAGACTTTGGGTACATCTATACTGCATGCTTATTTTGAAATAATGTGTCTAAACTGCAGGGAATACTCAAAATTAGTTGGAGGAAGGTTTCCCTAATGTAGATGTGCTATCTCAATTTAGAGCCCCAGAAGGCATGGGGAGGAATAACTTAGAATGGACCTGGCTATTTTGAAAAAGCAACAGTGGAGTATCTTCGCACACCTTGTTTCAAAATAGCTATTTCAGAAGAGACATTAAACCTCGTAGAATGAAGTTTACAGAAGTCCGAATAAGATGTCTTATTTTGAAATTATTATTGCTCGCATTGTTATTTCAAAATAACGCTAATTATATCAAAATAACGGTGCAGTGTAAATGCACCCTAAGAAACCAATAGGACAAGGACAAAGAAAGTGAAGTTTTCCTGAGAACAACACAGCATAGCTTCTTAATAACTAGGTCCAGTGGAAAAAATTTCAATTGAAATTAGGGTTTCACAGAAAATTAAACTTTTCACTGCACGAAAGGTTCCCCAGAGAGCACAGGAAATTTCACCTCTGGGTTGAAACCAGAAATTTGTGGTTGAAAACTTTCAGGTATGTTGTGCTTCAGTTTTTGGATGGAAAGTCAACAATTTCTATGGGAAATGCAATCAAAATATTTTCATTTTAATTTTTTTATGGGGGGGGAGAAGGTGGGAGGAAGAGCAAACAGCAAAAGCAAACCCTTTCAGAGGAAAGATGGTGTCTTTTCTGAGCGTAACCCACGGGGGTGCAGGAACTATTTGTACAGGGGTGATGCTGTGAGCCAAACAATAAACCCTGTATATCAGGCCTACTCAACTTTGGAAGCCCCAGAGGCCACAATGATACTCACAGCACATGCGGAGGGCCACAACTTAAGTGTGGTTGCATAGACATGCAATTATATATGCAAATAGCTTCTTTTACACAATGCCCCAGCACTTCCGACACCTCCTCCCTGGGGGCTAGAAACACCGACACCCTGTACCCTTCTGCTCCAGCCAGCCTATCCGCTTGCATCTTTTAATGCTCACCCCTCCTGGGAGATGCCTCGCCATTGTAGAGTGTGTTCCCAGTGGAGGCTATGTCAAAGGGTCCCACCCACAGGCTGCGTGTTGAGCCCCACGTAAACCCAAACTGCACTGCGGGCTGCAAACAGGCCATGTGTTGAGTAGGCCTGCTGCATATACAGGAAATCACCTCAAGTCAGAGGATGCGACACCCTCTGCCCCCACCCACACTTAGTTCCAGAGTCCATGCCTCATGCACAGCACAGTGTGGTCCCATCACAGCTGGGGGTTTAGGGCACTATCAGGGATAAATGCTTCACAGTAAAATGTGCTCTGAACAAACACAAGATTCCAGTGACCTGCTGCAGAACTCTGAAACATTAAGGGTTGATCCATCTGCCACTGACAGGGGTTTCTGCCAGCCAAACAGAAGACTCCAGTGATGTTATTTCCTAACCGTTTTCTATGACTCATACCAAATGGACAACAGCAGGAACTTGATCAAATCTTGCACCCAGGAAAGCTGGATTCTAGCACTTGCACAGACACATACATCACAAGAAGCTTAAGCTCACGGGAGAGGGATAGCTCAGTGGTTTGAGCACCGGCCTACTAAACCCAGCGTTGAGAGTTCAACCCTTCAGGGGACCATTTAGGGATCTGGGGTAAATCAGTCAGGGGTGGTACTTTGGCCATCCAGGAGACTGGACTTGATGACCTTTCAGGGTCCCTTCCAGTTCTAATGTTTTATGATTCCATCAAATGGAAGGAAACTGATCTCAGGGCATATCTACACTACAAAGTTAAAAAGGCCTCAGCATGCAGCTACTGCAGTAATTACATCTCTGTGCATTGCTCCCTACAGTAGCAGTACACACTCTCACCAGGAGTGCTTGCATCAACTGTACAGCAGTAGGGGAGGCTCTGAGACAGCTTCTGAAAGCCAGCAGCAGCAGTCAGTGTAACTCCATTCTATGCTGAAACTGCATCAACCTAATTACACACTATAGGGATATGAACCACTAGTTCATTATCTAATTACACTGTAGGGAAGGGATATGAACTACTAGTTGACTTTTCCATAAGCAAATGCTTATGGGATGGTCAACACACTAGCTGCTCTCCACCCCCACCCCACTGCTGAGAAAGAGGGGGTGGGGGAAAGGAGGGGATGCTTCAAAGTGGCAGCACTGAAATGCCTCAGGCCAGCAGGAGACTACACGAGTCGCCCCCAGGCTCTGGCCCAGTGCTCCCCACAGCGCTTTTCACCTTTGTAGCTGAACTTCAAAGGCAGAAGGGCCCTTATGGAGCCAGCCAGCCAATTCATCTAAATTTAGCATCCCTATTACATTGACTTTCTCTCTATACCCCACATGGTGGAGGATTTACATCAATACAGAGGGGCAGTTATATCAGTGAAAGCAAAATCTTAGTACACACACTTCCCTCGTTAGGTGGATGTAACCTGCCTTGCACCAGCCTAACTCTGTGGTGTGGACCAGATCTCCAGTTCCTACCAGACGGCCAGGATGGCCAATTGAAGCCAGTAACCCTACAACCCTAATATGGACACAGACCCTTCCCCCACAACATTGCCAGTGAAATAGTAAGAAGAGGGGACAGTGCATGTGTTATTTCAAAATACTTTTATTGTCAAGAATTGGGTGTGCGATTAGCAAGGCGCTCCGTGTGATCTTTGTGAATGAAAGATACCCTCAGCCTATGAGATGCATGCAAGTGACTCCCAATGGAATCATTTCCCCTTGCTCAGGGACACAGTCTGAGGTGGGCTCCAGCCCCTCCGACCCGGAAGAAAGGGAAGATTGTCTCACCCTCGAAAGAGGCGGGGGCGAAAGTGTATAATGGTATCACGTCATCAGCATCGAAAAATTCCACCAGTCCCATGTCGTAGTCCAGAGAAATCCGAATCTTCTCCGGTTTCTTACTTAGGGACAGGGGTGTGACAGGGTTAGAGAGAGCCCAGAACTGACCCCACCACTGTCGCTCTATAACCCAGACCCCATCCTCAGGCTTAAGGCTCACCACTCCTTCCTTCGTCCTCACAGACTGTTTGGCAACCCCCACGGCCCAGCCCCCTTTGCTCCCAACTTCCACCCCCCAGTAATGTCTCCCCTGGGTGAATCCCTGGCAGGCCAGCACGCAGGGAGAATAACTAAATCCCTCAGAATAGCCAGGCTCCTCCTGGTCTTTGCCTTTGACTTCCAGCCTGACACGTTTCCCATCTGGAGATATGAGGAGGAAGGGATTTGCTGTGTGTGGGTCCAGGCTCAGCTGCTCTGTGGAGAGGAAGAGAATCCGAGCATGAGGCACAGAGCTCAGCCCTGGGGGAGGGTTTGATCAGGCCAGGGACAGAATCTGCCCCAGATGCAGAGTGAATCAGTTTAGCTCCTCTCACTTGCCTGTGTCACTGGGGCAAGAAGGGCAGCTGGCCAACAGACTCATTTCTAACCCATATTTTAAAATGATCACAAATGTTATCCAAGTGTTTCACTTGCCACAGCACAGAATTCGCATACGCGTGTACCAAAAAGTCAATTTTGACCATTTTCAAATTAACTGAAAATTAATTCATCATAAAATCCTAACAAAGAAAAATGAAAATATTTTAGAAATATTTTTTGCAGAACTTCTCTACACCACCATTTTCCAAGGAGAAAAGATCTGCCACTATTTCTGCTTCTGCTTTCTCTGAAGTTGCAATCAGGGATCATTGCTAAGGGGAAAGAACAGCATGAGTGAGTGAGCGAGTGTGCGTATAGTCTTGAATTAAAAACAAATAAATAATCCGAGATGTCCTTAAAGGCAATGGGCAGGCTGAGGTCCCTCTGTCTTCATCCATGGAAGGAGCAACCAATCCCCTTTTCCATAGTGAAAATATCTGGAAACAAAGAGGCCTGCAAATGTAGGACAGAGGGGTGCATGGTCTGAGGCAGGGGTGTGCAATAATTTTTGATGGGGGGGCCACTCCAAGATTTTGGTAAGTGGTCAAAGGCCGCACTTCTGTGGAGGGGGTATGATGTCTGGGACAGAGGTTGGGTGCAGAAGGGAGCTCATGGTAGGGTATTGAGATGCAGGACAGGGTGTGGGACATGAGATGGAATTTGGGTGAAGGAGGGGGTTGTGATCTGGAGCAGGGGCTTGGGGTTATGGATGCAGGAGAGGTTTCTAGCCTGGAGGAGGGATGTAGGAGAGGTGCAGGGTCCAGGAGGGAGTTGTGACCTGGAGGAGGTGGGGAGAGGGGATACAGAGGGTTTGGATGGTGGCCTGGGGCAGGGGGTTGGGGTAGGGGAGCAGCTGGATCCCAGAGGCAGGCTCTGGCTGGAAGGCGCTTACCTAGACCCTACACCTCTCCCAGCCAACAGCCCCACAGGAACTTGAGGCTCCTTGCCTGCCACAGCTCCAGGCTGGTCAATATGACTGGCTGCTCCATGTGACTCTTTGCTCCAGGCAGCGGGAGGAGTAGGGGGCAGGCTCTGTGCACTGCCACTGTCCCCAGCAAAATTTCTCAGCTCCTATTGGCTGAGAACTGGCACTGTTTGGGTGTGTACCCTAAGAGCCATCCCTAGGGGAGAGTGAATCAAGTGGCTCCTCCAGGCCCTGTGGGCCAGCACCACTGGCTGGTGCATTCAGCCCTGGAAGTGACCGATCGATCAGTCCAGGAAGAAACATATTTATTGCTGCTTCCCTGGCAGGGGAAAGCCCATCCTGCCTGCAGGGCCCGAGCTGAGAGATGGGCTCAGAGGTGGACTAGCGCAATACAAAACGGTGAGTGGGGAGGGGAAGGGAGGGGAGGGAAGCTACATTCCCTTATAACCCATAACCCAGTGGTTAGGTGCTCCCTGGGGGCTGTAGGAGACCCTGGGTCAAAGGGATTACAACAGGGATCTCCCGTTTCCCAGGAAACTGCTCTAGGCAAGAGCCCCAGAACCTTGGTTGAAGCCGGGGCCCATCAAGTCCCTCCTCCTTCAGGACCCTACTCCCCACCTTCGCTGCTCCCAGGGCCGGCCTTAGGGAAAATGACACCCTGGGCAAACTTGTGTTTTGGTGCCCTGACCCTTGCGGGCAAAGCCCCCCTCATTTCCCTGGCACCCATGGGCTCTCCAACCCCTGCACGTTCCCCTCTCACCTGTGTCCCCCTCCCTATGCTTCCAGCCTGTCCTGCCACGCTGCCCTCCTGCCCTGTACCCTGCACCCCCTTTGCCTAGCAACACCCATGCCCAGTTGCCTCACCCTCTGGCTATGGTGGCTTGGGCATAGGCCCAGTTTGTCCAGCCCTAAGGCTGGCCCTGGCTGCTCCTCTTCCCCCAAGACCCCGGCTCGAGGATGGGGGAGCTGGGCTGTGTTACGAGCTCCCTATGCAACCTGAGCCACTATGGGAAGCCCCAAACTCTCCATCTGTTCTGGGCAGGGAGCTCTGAGAGGAACCTCAGGCTCATGTCACCATGAGCCACTATTTAAATCCTGCACCCTCACAGGGGGTTTCCCACATCCTGGCTGAGCACCAGATTGAAGCCTACAAGGGGCCTTTTCCTGCAGCCGTTCCACACCAAGCTAGGTGGTCTTAGAGCCTGCCTACCATATTGGGCCCCACAGACGAGATCGGCCGTCAGCCCTGGCTCCTGGCTTGCATGGGGGCTTAGCTGGGAGAAACCAGCACTGCCAGAACCCAGAGGCAGCAGCTCAGTCCCTTGGAGACTGTCACTGTGAAAACAGAGTCAGGGAATAAGTTCAGACACCTCCATTTAGGTAGCAGCCAGGCAGGGGGGTTGAAGATCACAGTGAAGCTAAAACTGGGATTTAGGTCTTGGTTTGTTACGTATGGAACTCCCTGGGCATGCAGCTTGGTTGGGTGGCAAATGCTGGGAATTCTGAGCAAGGAAACTGCCTGCAACAAAATGGCTGATGAAATTCAACCTAGAGAAGCATTTGCAGATTAGAAAGTGAGATTCCAACTGACTGTTTGGGAGTCTAAATTAGCTGTTTCCACTTAAGAAAGAGACCCTGACGTCATTGTGGATAGTTCTCTAAAGCAGGGTTGCTAACCCTCCAGGATTTTCCTGGGGTCTCCAGGGAATTAATGATTTATCTTTAATTCAAGATTATGCCATTTAACACAATTCAGGGAATATGTCCCTCAAAATGGTCAGCCCTACTCTGAAAACATCCAGTCACTGTGCAGCAGCAGTGAAAACAAACAAACAAACAAGCAAGCAAGCAATGGGAGAAGGGTTTTGGGCTTTGGTAAAATATGAACATTTTTTACCTGCTTTTCTAAGCCAATTTCTCCATCCTGTAATAAAAAATAATGAGAAATGAGAATTCCCCTGAAAGAACACTGTATTAGGAGGCATCACTATTACACAGAAGGAAATGTGGGGAGCAGAAAGCAAATCTGGTAAAAAATTGTGTGAATATTTTCTGCAATAAATATTTAACTGAAATGGTAATTTTTGAGTAAAAATGATGATTCCCACATGGGAACCAACATTTAGTTTATATATCACTCTGCACTTACATTTTTTTTAATTTAACAAATTTGAAACAATATTTTGTGCTGAAGTGTCAAACAATGATAATTTTAATTTTTTAATGAAAATATTGACATTTTAACATTTTTGTATCAAAACTTTTAGAACTTTAAAAATATATTTTTAAAAAATAATGGGAGCATATTTTTTGTTTGTTTGGAAACAAGCTTTCAAAAGGAAAAAATGCCCAGTAAAACTTCCAAATATCTCTAGCTAAAGTTCTAGTAAAAATGACCATGAAGTAATGTCAGAAACACATACATTTCATGAGCAGTTCTCTTTCAAAGGCTACACATTTAATTTACAGAAATGCCTGTATCATCACCATGCTTAAGCAGGGTATATCTTTAATATATCAAACTCTTTTATTAATGCTTCTCTCACTGCTGCCCATAGCAAATACTCAATTGTATCTGACAATTCAAAACACCATGAGAGAAGAGAAAGACCCCAGTGAATTTAATGGGCTCCGTAGCTAACCATTTGGAACGGATGTGATGCCATTATTGTTATTTTCAAAGATTTGAAACAGGAAACAAAGTTACTAACATTGATATTTTGATAACATGCTTTAAGTATTTATTGTTTGATTCCCAGAAATGTAACTTCCTGTCTTCAGTGCTTCTCATACTTACTAGAAAGCAAAGATTTAGGCATATGCAAAAAGTTCACTGGGACAAAAGCACATGCCTAAAACGAAGCAAATGTTTGTGGGCTGCCTTTAATAGGCAGAGACAAATATTTGCATACCTGCTTTTCTGAATCAGGCCCTTAGATTTTCCCACAGTTCATATGTTAAATCTCATGTCTTTATTAAGTTAGATGCTTAGGACCAAAAAGTAAGGCAGCTTGGTTATTTAGATTCAGCCTCTCTAGTTTAGTCACATATAACTTCTTGTAAGTTCCCATTCAATGTGAAATTTCACCTATTTAAAATTAAACCACCTCACAAATCCTTTTAAAAATTGAATTAATCACCAAATGAAATAAAAAACCCAAACAACCACACACATACACTGTCCCCCACCCCACCAAACCAGGCTGTTTGCAAAATATTGTGAGTGGAGAGGGAATAACACTTACTGCCTTCTTCATCCCTCTTCTCTAAAAGCAAGCAGAAATAAATACACATTAGTATGATGAATGCCACTGCATTTGCATTTCTTTTCCTGCAGGGAAAGGACTGTGCCCTTTCAGGTCAGAATGCAACTGTGGCTCTTCACATCTCCCCTAGGGGCTGGCCAAACAGCACCCAGCACCAGTTGCCCCAGGGATGGAGCTGGCGCCTCCATTAGGAAGGCAGGTTAAGGGATGCCCTGAAAGTAGAGAAGTGAGGTGAGTTTTGGAGTGCACTAGAGGATAGGGCATTGGCCTGAGGACCCCATGGTTATGGGTTCAAGCCCGGCCCTCACAGCCAGCACCAGTTTCCTCAGGGATGGAGTTGGCTCCCCACTGGTGCATCTGTCACATGCAAAACAAAGTGACTCTGCCATTTGCAAGAGGTGGAGCAGACCCAGGACCCACACCACCACCACAGTGGGGGAGAAACAGTCATGGTTTGGGTGCCTAAGTTTTAACAAGCCAAACGTGATGCTCCCAGTGCCTGATTTTCAGAGGCACTCAGTGACCTTTGACTTCAGCAGGCATGGGAATGCCTCAGCTCTTACAATCAGGCTCCAGGAGTCTCAGAGTACGCCCTCATCCAGAGCTAACTTGATTGACGGAGCCCTTTGGGGAGCCTGGCCCAGGTCTGTGGCCACAGGGCCACCAAGTCAAAACTTTTTGGGTCTTCACTACCGTGGCACTCATCCAAGTGCAACACCAGGACATCTGGGGACATAGCCCATGGTTCTCTGGGCTATGCGGACCTGAGCCACTCTGCAACTCTTTTCCAGTGACTTTTGGGACACCCGGGAGGGAATTATGGGAAGGAACTGGAGGGCTGTCAGCATTCTAGCAATTTAGTCTGAATCCTCAGGATAATACCAGCCTGAGCCAAATCACAGCCCTTGCTATAGGCTAGATCACTCCCTCAGCTGTGTGAGCTAGCCTGGTGGGAAAACGATCACTACACTCAGGAAGTGTGTGAATGGGGGACAAGGGTAGGAGCAACATCTGAATGAAAGCCAGGGCTACTCTGAAGCCATGACATACCCTCAGATTCATTACACAAACTCAGAGGCAGTTCCAGTCAGGTCTGATTCATGACAATTGGATTCTCATTTGTGTTGCACATTTCCACTTTCCACTGCTGTATTTTTGTTCTGGGTAGTCCCAGCCACTGAATTTTAAGTGTCTGCTTTGTCTTGTTCTTAAGAACTGGTAAAAGAACTAACAAAGGGAGCTGGGAAGCACAGTCCCATATTTAGGGTGTTGTAAATTTGGAACCCTTTGTTCAAGTCCAATTCTGCAGGAAAAAAACAATCACCCTCAGCTCTAGGGCTGTAAGTGTGTTGCTACCACTGTTTGGAGAGATTAAAGAGGGAAACAAAAACTGATGTTGCAATCATTTGAAAATAAAGCAACTACCTTAACTACAGAGCTCTCACCATCCCTCCAAAACATTACAACATGTTCCTATTATTAGGAGAGAGTCTCTTCATAGTGAATTTCCTTATTTAACAGATTACCTTTTGTTTTAAAGTAATAAAGTAAGCTGCAAATAACAAAAAACTCAATAACCAGGATGGTGCATGGTATGGTAATCCAGGGAGATAGCTTCGGGAAGATAGGCTCTATGGGGGAAAAAAAACAGAACTGGTGTTACACTTTGGAAGCAGAGAAAAAGGTCAAATGGTTTTTATTATAAGTATAAACACCCACAGTAGAAGATGGGTGAGACAAGAACTCAGAGATGGCCTTGTTACATTAGAGAAATGAATAGAAACTTACTTTAAAATGGTTCTAACCAAGGCAATTTAAACAGGGATAGATGGTATCTGTCACTAAGTGGGTCTGGCTTGATGCAGCGCTGTCATATGACATATAATAATTAATTAGAGTTTAAGTAAATAGTTTTTGATAAACCCTATAAAATATAAATCGTCCTCACAGAAAATAGAAGAATGGCCAGGCTGAGTCAGACCAAAAATCCATCTAGCCCAGTGTCCTGTCTGCTGACAGGGGCCAATGCAGGTACCCCAGGAGGAATGAACAGAATGGGGAATCACCAAGTGACACATCCCCTGGTGCCCATTCCCAGCTTCTGGCAAAGAGAGGCTCAGGACACCCTCTCTGCCCATCCTGGCTAACTGCCACTGATGGACCTAACATTCTGCCATGCATTTATCTAGCTCTTTTTTGATCCCTGTTATAGTCTTGGTCTTCCCATCTTCCAACAATCTTAACTGGATGGTTAAAAATATCAAAAGTAGCAGAACGTGATATAAAAAAAGATTTTGTAGATGCATGGTGTTCCCATGCCACAGCAGAGTGAGTTTGCTCTGGAATGGGCAATTATAAAAGTATTTTATATTTGCAAAATTTGTAAAAGACTGATTATAATGGGAGGATGTTTGTATACATCTTAATACTTACTGGATGGTCCTAAGGTTGCACAGACATTTTAACTTTGTTAACCAATTGTGGATGGTCACATTGCAGCTTGTAACTGACCTGCTATATTAATTGTTGATTTCTTTTCTTGTTTGAGGAGCGCGTCCCTAATGGAACAGGAGATGTTTGAGGTTTCCTTTACAATCACAGATGCTTCTATTTCAAACAGGCCATAATGCCTTCCAGATTTTGTTTCAGACAGTGACGGCACCCGACGTCCAGTAAGATCTTGCCAGAAAACTTGAGGCTTTGGGTACCACCCAGCTGATCGGCAGACGACTCGGATCCCTCCATCCTGGTAATCCTCCACAGAGATGAGAGGAGCAGAGCCGAGAGCTGCAGGAGAGAGGGATAAACCTGTTTTAATGTTATATTATGCAGTGTGATTATAGTCCTGTAGGTACCAGGAAATTAGAGAGAAGGCGAGTGAGGTAATAGCTTTTAAATGGGCCAACTTCTGCTGGGGAGAGAGACAAGCTTTCAATGTCACACAGAATGTCAAGGCTGGGAAACTCACTCAGGGCACGTTTATACTACAAAGATCGAAGCTGCCGCCGTCCATCTTTCAGGGTTTAAATTAGTGTTTCTACTTAAGACTGCTAATTCAAATAGAGAGGGGTGCTCCGGTCAATGCCGATAGCCCTGCTTCCACCAGGGTAAGGGAAGTTGAAGGGAGAGTGCACTCTCTTTGAGTTCCTGCAGCGAGGACAGAGCCAAAAGTTGAGTTAAGGTACTTTGAATACAGCTATACAATTAACGTAGCTGAAGTTGTGTGTCTTAATTCGACATTGTCCTGTAGTGTAGACACACCTTCAGTGTGTCACTGTTCAGTGCCACTTGAAATAAGGCATATCCACGACATGGGAAAATCAATCCAAGCTATGCCACTTGAGTTACATTAGTAGCGTAACTCTCAACCTCCCACACCACTGCTGGCACCAGCCCTGGCGCCACATACACCTTAGAGCTCTCTTTATAAGAGTGAGGATAGTCAGTGTCCGTGTTCAAATTCATTTTAGGGGTTAAATCACTGAGAAAGTACCCATGAGACATCTTCATTCACAATTTTCCAAGAGCTGTAGCAGCTGAGTGCGAGACAGGACAACGTCTCTGCTGATTTCATTAGATCAGTCAGCGGCCTTTATGATCAGGGACTATGGCTCATCTCTGCTGCTTCTCTAATAGCGAGTCCAGAGTAATTTTCTTCCTGCCTAATGAATCAGCCGAGAGGATTAAACTCTTGTCACCTCCCCTTTATTCGGCTCTGGTGAGGCCACACCAGGAATACTGTGTCCAGTTTTGGGCCCCCCACTATAGAAAGGATGTAGACACATTGGAAAGGGTCCCGCGGAGGGCAACCAAAATGATTAGGGGGCTGGAGCACATGACCTATGAGGAGATACAAAGGGATTTTGGTTTGTTTAGACTGCAGAAGAGAAGAGTGAGGGGGGTTTTGATAGCAGCCTTCAACTTCCTGAAGGGAGGTTCCAAAGAGGATGGAGAGAGGCTGTTCACAGTAGTGAGGGATGGCAGAACGAGGACCAATGGTCTCAAGTTACAGTGGGAGAGGTCCAGGTTGGATATTAGGAAAAATTATTTCCCTAGGAGGGTGCTGAAGCATTGGAATAGGTTACCTAGGGAGGTGACGGAATCTCCATTCCTAGTGGCTTGTAAATCCTGGCTTGACAAAGCCCTGGCTGGGATAATTGAGTTGGGGCTGGTCCTGCTTTGGGCAGGGGGCTGGACTTGATGACTCCTGAGGTCTCCGCCAACCCTAGGATTCTACGAATCTTGATTCACGTCCGGAGCCAAAGCCTACTGAAGATGTTAAACCTCCTGCGGGTTTCTATGGCCTTTTGATCAGTGCATATATGAAGGCAGAGGATGTGACTGTGATATGAAACACTGTCCTTCAGAGAAGCTGCACTAACTTTGCTTATTACCTTTGCCTGCCCATTCACTGTCTCTCTGACATCTCTGTTTCTCACGGCATTTGGGACACTGAGAAGACTGGGGCTGTCTGAAGGAGTGAAAGGCTATAACAATGCTGAATGGCCAGGAGAAGTCTTTGGAGTGGGCTGGGACAGCGAAGATTTTTTGGGTTGGGGGCCGCTGACTGATAGAAAAAAAAAATTAGTCGGGGGCCACACAAAAGTGAAAAGGAAAAAAAAAGGCATTGCTGTGGCCCCTGCCTAAGAAGCACATTCCCCTCACACACCAGAACCTGAGAGGGGGGCCTGAGCTAGTAGATTTTGTGGGCCATGCCTATGCTCTGGTATGCAGTCAGAAATGAGGGGTCCAGTGTATGGGAGGGAGCTACTGGGAAACAGGCCTCAGGGGCCAGATTCAGGCAAGCCAGTGCCAAATCCAGCTCCTGTGTTGTATATTCCCCTCCCTGCTTTGGAGGAATTGTGCTTTGTGGTGTGAGGATCATGCTGGCTCCTTAGCTGCTGCATCTTGAGGGACAGCAATCTCATGGATAGCCACTGTGGGGGATGTACCGCTTCCTCTCTTAGGTGAGGAAATAAAAGAGCAAAAAGACACTTTAAATTAAGAAAACACATGTGCAAAACTTCTGGCATAGTGGGCACTGGACTGTGAATGACAAAAAAGAGAAAACGCTATCAGGAAAGGAAGCACAAGCATAAGCTACTGACCTACTACCTGCAGTTCTAATATGGCATCTCCATAGAAGGCAGTTGACTGAAAATAACATCTGTATTGTCCCTCATCTGTGGGTGTGACTTTACGTAACATCAAGGCGACACGCCCATCTCGGATGCCGTCTCTCAGGAAATCTGTCCTTCCGGTGTATTCCGGCATCTGCTGCTCGTACTGGTCCTTCCCATAGCGATAGAGATGCACAGGTGAAGAGAAATCAGACCGGTACCATCTCACCTCCATGTCCTCGGCACTCATTGTGGGGGACAAGTGACAGGATAGCACCACGTCCTCCCCCACTATGGCAATGATAGGCTGGTCTGGTCCAGTGACTGTGAACTGAGCTGTGGAACATACCATGATAAAAGGAAAAATCGACTTTAAAAAAAAACAAAAACAAAACAACAACGTAGAATTTGATCTGACGGCTGTCGTCAGTCAGGCATTCCCAATGGGTTCCTGAAGGGAGGTTCCAAAGACGATGGAGAGAGGCTGTTCACAGTAGTGACAGATGGCAGAACAAGGAGCAATGGTCTCAAGTTATAGTGGGAGAGGTCTAGGTTGGATATTAGGAAAAACTATTTCCCTAGGAGGGTGGTGAAGCACTGGAATGGGTTACCTAGGGAAGTGGTGGAATCTCCATCCCTAGAGGTTTTTAAATCTCAGCTTGACGGGTTGATTGAGTTGGGGTTGGTCCTGCCTTGGGCAGGGGGCTGGACTTGATGACCTCCTGAGGTCTCTTCCAGCTCTATGATTCTATGACTGGTCTCCTGCTCCAGCAATGATAAACTTTTGGCTACTGTCTCCTCACTAACCCCGCACATTGCAAGCTGAATTTTCAATCCTTTCTGAAATCTACACACATAATCACAGCAGTTTAGAAATGACTTGTCAGGGCTTGGTGCTAATTTGTGCTCATTCTCTCAAGGGTTTCCTGGTTTAATTCCCTCCCCCCCAAAAAAAGACCTTGTCTTACAATCTCAATCATTTCTACAAGGCCTTTTTGCAGAGACAAAGGGGAAAAAACCAAACCAAACCCAGGAGGGAGGAGCCACCCAGAAGGAATACCAGTGGGGTTACACTTTGAAACGGAAACACTGAAATGCTAATAAGAGTTTCTCTCGGACTCAGAGCCAAGTGTGGTTTGCAGTCACTTGACAGCAGTGAGCAGACTCAGCCGGCCCTCAGGAACTGGTGGTGAACACAGAGTGTGCAGCCCTCAATTTAGTCAGTAGCTGTGCTCATGAGACAGCAGCAGATGCCAGAGGGGCAGTGAATGCCCATCTAAGAACTGTCCCTACTTCTCCCCTCTCCTCCCCCTCACTGCGATAGCTGTACTCGAGAGGGGCCTGAATGAATTCGGGAAGTGTTCCTAGTCTCATTTTCCCACTGGGCAGAGAGACACTCAGACTGGCCCAGCAAATAAATAGTTAGGCTAAAATGATATTGTTGTTAATTAGGCTGAACTGATCCTCAGGGTGTATAATTACTGTATAAGTGTATAGCTGTATGGGCCTTAAGAGCCACACAAGAGGGGGGGGGGGGGGAACCCACTGAAGAAGTGGGGCTGCCTACCTGATTCCAAGGTGTGAATTGGTAAATGAACGAAGAAAAGGGTGAGGCCAGGCAGAGAGATAATTGCCTCTCTTCTGTGGTTCCCCAGCAATCTCATTGTTGTTGAAACTTGCAGACAAAACAAGAGAAAAAAACTCCAAACAGTGAGCACATGAAGGACTGCGTTATAACCAATCATCATTGGGCAGCACATACACAGCTCATGGGACGCTCTGCTTTGGAGATCCCAAGTCAAATGCCCTTGCACGGGTTGAGGGTTGAACCCCTCTAGTCTGTCACCCTCGGGACCTGACTGGTGCCAAATGAATTTTCCGAACCACAGGAGGTCAGTATTGTCTAGCACAATGTTTCCTAATTTTATTTGGCCACGAAACCCTTTTAAACACAAAAGAATTTTGTGGAACTGCTAATAACAGTCTTATATATGGAATTGAAAAAACAGACCACAAATAAGTAAGGATAATAATAAAAAAACGCTAAACAAGGTCATAAGATCAACACAAATGAAAATTGTTTTTAATACAATTCATGAATGCTTAAATATTAATTATTATTATTCTAAAATTATAAAATGTTATTGTAATGGAATTTTCTTGTGGAACCGTCATTTTCACTTCATGGAACCCCAGGGTTCTGCAGAACACCATTGGGAAACACTGGTCTAGCAGCATTACCAACACTTCCACTGCTTGCTGGGCTGTTAGAAGACATATAGGGGTACATTAGAACTACATCACAGCACAGAACCCTGAGAGCCAGGACTGGTGGCTGCAAACAAACTTTATGGGACCGTGGGAAACTTGGCCACCTCCACGAAAAGTGGACATCCAGCTAACTCAAATCATGCCAGACCATGGATGTTTCTGGATCAGAGTGTTCTGGACTAGAGAGGTTCAACCTGTAGCACTGTCAGCAACTGCAAACTCCCACAGTTGCTTAGAGAGGAACCTTAACACTGCAACGAGCAGGAGTTAGGGAAGCACTTGGGCCCAGATCCACACAGGCACTTAGGGGTGTTAATCCCAGATGTAGGTTCAAAGTCCCTGCAGTTGTGGGTCCTGACTTGTTTTCCCATTTCCCAGGTGGGTGCACTAATCTCTGGCCTACAGAATTGGGAGTTTTGGCCTCCAGCATATTAAACAGAAATGGAACAGCCTCAGTAGTTGAGGTTAAAGGAGGCCCATATCAGTCCAGGTGAGATCTAATCACTGGGCTAAAAGTTATAGGATGGACTCCTCCGCAGGCATTGTGCGAGGAAGCGGGCAGGGATGGAACACAGACATCACAAGATGTAACGTAAGCTTGTACACCCCATGACTCCAGGAGAGGAGCACCCAACTGTAGATTTCAAGCAGAGACAAGCCCCTCCCTGCAGCCTCAGATTTTAGTTTATCATCCATTTACTATGTGGTGTTATGTCACGGGCATGCACAGGAATACACATTTGGCAGCTTGGGGGCAGAGGGCACTCTCTGTGCTCGGGTTCTACTCCGAGTCCCTGTTGACCAATAAGCAGTGTTCTCTCTAATTTTTTCACCTGGGTGCAGAATAAATTTTGTTATATGCACCAAAGCAAGTGCAGATGTGCACCACCAATATAAACACATGCTACCAGCTCTGGATGGCTATGGGTGCTCTGCTAAACAGTAACATACCCAGAGAAGGGTACTGTATATTCTTCCATCTATACATAGGGGCTGTGTCTACATTGGCACCCTTTTCTGGAAATGCTTAAAACGGAACAGTTTTCGGTTATAAGTATTTCCGGAAAAAGCGTGTCTACATTGGCAGGATGCTTTTCCAGAAAAGCACTTTTTCTGGAAAAGCATCCATGGCCAATCTAGACGCGCTTTTCTGCAAAAAAAGCCCCGATCGTCATTTTTGCGATCGGGGTTTTCTTGCGAAAAACACTACTGTGCTGTCTACGCTGGCCCTTTTCCGGAACAGTTTTCTGGAAAAAGACTTTTGCCCGAAGGGAGCAGCATAGTTTTTCCAGAAAAGCACTGATGATTTTACATTAGATCGTCAGTGCTTTTCCGGAAATTCAAGCGGCCAGTGTAGACAGCTGGCAAGTTTTTCTGGAAAAGCGGCTGATTTTCTGGAATAACTTGCCAGTGTAGACACAGACACAGAGAACACTGCTAATACACTTTTTGTTTACTCGCTGGCTGCAGAGTTGGGGTGCAGGGCCCTCTGGCTTTCCCAGGGGTCCCTTCCAGGTAGAAGTGCACAGTGTGAACAGGGACACTGGGAACTCTGAGGTCAGACCCAGACAGTCTGTAGCCAGAGAAGCTCCCGGTCCTGAGCAGCACACCGAGGGGCGCTGTGCTACCCATCATCCTATCTGGCTTCATACAGAGCAGTTGCAGAGCGTGGGGCCTGAGATTCCCTAGACCCTAGGAATGGGTCACCTAGGGAAGTAGTGGAGTCTCCATCCCTAGAGGTGTTTAAGTCTCGGCTTGACAAAGCCCTGGCCGGGTTGATTTAGTTGGAATTGTCCTGCCTAGAGCAGGGGGCTGGACTTGATGACCTTCTGAAGTCTCTTCCAGTTCTATGGTTCTATGATTCCCTTATACTCCGCACCTAAACTATGCGCCGCAGATTGGGGAGGTCCCAATTCCTCTCCAGGAAAAGAAAACTAGAAGTGGGGGAAGAGGAGAACACATCAATGTGGAACCAGTAGAACCCAAGTTTCTTGTCTCTGCAATAGTAGCAACAGGTGGGACGGGTGGGCATCCCATAAAAGTCATCATGTACATTTCAGCTCTGTGAATGGAGGGGGTGCTGGTTCTCGGACAGAGTTTGAGTGCAGGAGGGTCCTCTGGAGAGGAGACTGAGGCGTAGGAGGGGGTGGAGGGTCTGGGAGGGAGCTTGGGTAGAAGAGGGAGCTCCGGGCTGGTGCAGAGGGTTGGGCTGCAGAAGGCAAAGGGTGCAGGGCCAAGGGGGAGTTTGGAGGCAGGAGGGGTTCTGACCTGGGGCAAGGGGTTGAGGTGTGGCAGGGGGGCGAGGTGCAGGCTCTCACTGGGAGGCACTTGCCATAAGTGGCTATAGTGGCCCCACACACCACTCCCGGAAATAGCCAGCTGCTGGAAAGATGTCTCTATGAGCCTTTATGGGGGTCTCTGCACGCTGCACACAAGCTCCGCCCCCCGCAGGTCTCATTGTCTGATTTCTGGCCAATGGAGGCTGAAAGAATGGTGCGGAGGGTGGGGTCTACACACAGAGACCTGCTGCCTCCCTGCCCAGCAGGGCCCACAGAGACATGTTTGCCAGCAGCAGCTGGCCACTAACAGGAGCAGCACATGGGGCTGCAGCCGGCAGCCATCCTGCCTGAGCACCCTGCTGGGCTGTGGGACTTTTAGCCCTGGGAGGGTTATGGTGGGTCAGAGAGGAATGTTTGGTATCTGGATCCAGCACAGGGTGCATTTTGCCCACCCTGAGCAATGCTGGGGGGCTGTCATTCAGATTTCCCTTCACAGCTGGAGACATTTATCAGTGACAACCATGGGATGTGTGGATTTAAGTTTATATGTATGTCAATATCAAGAGCTATTTTTAAAATATATTTTATCTATCCTAACACCAGTACAATCCAATCAGGAAAGAAAACCAAACTCTAGAATAAAATTTCCACACCTCATCTCCCAAAAACCATAATCCACAATATTATAGCAATAGTGATAACTAAATGCATCCCTTTGTGTATTCCCCTGAGAACTTCATCTGTTGAGCATCTGTCCTCGTGCAAACTAATTCCACTGAGGAATTTTGGGGTTTGGGAGGGGGAGAAAAAAAAGGGTGGCTTGAACGAGGGAGAAAAAAAATGATATTGAGACAATCAGAATGAAGTTACCCCAGAGGGAAAATGGGGACTATGAACTCCAAAAAATAAGGAATATTTTTGCTCTCTGTTTGTACAGCATCTAAGAACATAAGACCAGCCAGACTGAATCAGATCAAAGATCTAGCTAGCTTAGTTTCCTGTCTTCCAACAGTGGCCAATGCAGGTGCCCCAGAGGGAGTGAACACAACAGGGAATCATCAAGTGATCCATCTTCTGTTGCCCACTCTCAGCTTCTGCCAAACGGGGACTAGCAACATCATTCCTACCCATCCTGGCTAATAAGTATTGATGGACCTAACCTCCATGAATTTATCTTGTTCTTTTTTGAACCCTGTTAACAGTCCTGGTCTTCACAACACCCTCTAGCAAGGAGTTCCACAAGTTGACTGTGTGATGCATAAAGAAGTAAAGAGACAGGCACCTTTCGGAGAGTGTACAGTAGCCAACATGGCCCACCATGGAGCCTGAATGTGTCTGGGGCTTTCCAGTGCTACAACAACAACAAGTAACCAAAGCTCACCTACCTAATGGATCCTGGGCAGACGTTTCCCAGAGTTTTCTCACTGGTGCTTATGGCAGTTCTTGGATCCTCATCTCTTTTCTCACATTGTTAATCATTCAGACCAGCTTCTCCTCGGATATTTAACTAAAGGGTTTGGTTCAACTGTGCCTGACCAGAAGTGTCTCTCTTGATGCTTTGTCCCACTCAGAAAATCAATATGGAGAAGGAACAGGACAGTCTTTCAGTCTGTACAGAAGCGCGCACAATCCTGCCGGAAGGTAAGTTGACAGGGCAGCACCAGGCTACTTCCCAAGGAGCTTGGGTTCAGCCGATTATCCAACAGGCTATTTACCAGGCACCCCTCTTCAGATGAAGGTAAGAAGTTTAAGGAGCCTCTTCTGCTGTTCTTCAAACACCAACTGATGTCTTCTTTTTTAACTCTTTCTTCACCTCACTCCCAGAATGAAGTCTCTTACAGCAAACCCACCAAAAATAATCTTGCTGCTCATTGGTGTTTATGGTGAGTTTTTATTCCTCCAAAGTCTAAAGTTCAAAGCCCAGCCGGCTTCTGTTCTCACACACGAGTTGCTCTGTCACTGGAAAGAGACATTATAAAGCAATATGAGGATAATCAACTATAGTGTGATCTTGGCATAACACAACACATGTTGGAACTATTACAGTAACGTTGCCCCGTCGGCAGTTGCTCCCCAAGGCAGAGGATGCAGAGGCTGTGCTGCCAACCAGCAGCTGCTCCCCAGGGCTGGGGCACTTGCTCCCCCTTGTGGTCATTTGTGAGTATAACTGTCCCTGCTACCACACCACTTCCTTTCCATTTGACGTGAAATAATCCCATTCCAGGCACATCCCATTGTCTTGGCACAACCAAAACCCTGACCTTGCTGTAAGAGGAAGCTGCATACCGAATTTGGTGGTCCTAGCTCTTATCATTTAGGAGTTCTTAAACAAATGGACTCTCTTGCAGACAAACAGAAACACATACAAACTCTCTAAAATATTTAGAAGGAGATTACATCCCACGTCTAACACCAGCATTCCTCCAAATCAAACAGTGGTCCCCAAATTTTTGGTCCTTTGCCCATCCTCCTCCCCTTCCAGGAGTGGGGCCACAGCCAGGGCCTGATGCTGGGAATGGGGCCTGGTGCTGGGGATACAGCTGAGGGTAGGACCAAAGTAGAGCTGGGAGCAGATTGGAGATGGATGGTCTCTCCAACTTGCTCCCCCTCTCCCTCCCCATGGGGCTGGCCCAGGACCCATTCCACTATGCCCCACTTCCAGACTTTCCCTCATGCTCCACTACGGGAGCATGTCCCACAGTTTGGGGATGTCTGAAATAAAGGCCACTGATCTCCAAATAAAACACAAAGATGTGTCTCAGAAAAAATACACTGAACCAGGAAGAACTCCCACCGGAGCCCAAATATGGGAATAGGCAGAACAAGGAGGACAAAGAGCTCTTGCTCGGCTGGGGAGTTTTATGTGAAGAGACAGAAAGTCGTGCGTGTGATACCCTAGCACAGTCCCTCTACATCTCCAGAACTGCCAGCAAATAGGTCTGTCATAGTGGTCCTAAACCAGCCTCTGCCTCATTTGAATTCTCTGCTGTGCTCCGACTGCAGTTCCCCAACACACAAGGGCTACGTCTAGACTGGCATGTTTTTCGGAAATGCTTTTAACGGAAATGTTTAAAAGCATTTTCAGAACAGAGCATCTAGATTGGCATGGACGCTTTTCCACAAAAGCACTTTTTGCGGAAAAGCGTCCGTGGCCAATCTAGACGCACTTTTGCGCAAAAAGCCCCGATCGCCATTTTCACGATTAGGGCTTTTTTGCGCAAAACAAATCTCAGCTGTCTACACTGGCCCTTTTGCGCAAAAGTTTCCGGAAAAGCAGCTGATTTTCTAGAAAAACTGGCCAGTCTAGACACGGCCCAGGGACACAGCCCAATAAGTGAAATCCTATCTGTTAATGCTACCAACTACATGCATCTTCCCTGCCACTACCACAGCTCTGCCAGTAAGTTTTTTAGCACACTGGCAAGCAGCCTGGCTCAGTCCCAGCTCACACAGGTTTTTGGAGTTAACCCAGCTGTGGCTCTGCATTAAAAGTATTTTAGGAGCCAACAGCCAGGCAGCCCAGCTCAGTGCCAGTCTGTGCTGGTCCAGGAAGCTACCCCTGCTGTGGCTTTTGTCCCTTTTTAAATGCTTTTGACATGGACTAAGCAAATTTGTATAGCTAGTGCGGGCAGAGAGAAGGGCAATGGCTGTAACAGAACTGCTGAGCATGCTCAGTGCCCAGAAAATATCAGGAAGTATCACAATCTCTCAGGTAGGAGCTTTCTACATTACAGGTGCTCCTAAAATACACTGGTGCAGAGCCGCCCGGGGGGGAGGGGGGAAGTTGCCGTTGCTGGCACAAGCCGGGACTGAGTGCTTGCAGTTGGACCCCTTATCAATTAATCATGTAGTTGACAAAACAAACTGCACACTTCTTAACATCCACTTCTTAGAGGGTCCAGAGAAGAGCAACAAGAATGATTAAAGGTCTAGAAAACATGACCTATGAAGGGAGGCTGAAAGAATTGGGTTTGTTTAGTTTAGAAAAGAGAAGACTGAGGGGGGACATGACAGCCATTTTCAGGTATCATGAGGAGGAGGGAGAAAACTTGTTCATCTTGGCCTCTGATGATAGAACAAGAAGCAATTGGCTTAAACTGTAGCAAGGGAGGTTTAGGTTGGACTTTAGGAAAAAATTCCTGTCAGGGTGGTCAAACATTGGAATAAATTGCCCAGGGAGGTTGTGGAATTCCCATCTCTGGAGAAATTTAAGAGTAGGTTAGATAAATGTCTATCAGGGATAGTCTAGACAGTATTTGGTCCTGCCATGAGGGCAAGGGACTGGACTCGATGACCTTTCGAGGTCGCTTCCAGTCCTAGTATTCTATGATTCTATCCCTACAACACACACAGCCCCTTTCTAGGCAGGCCACACACCTACATTTCCTTGGCAATCCTTGCAATGTGCCACCGGCGGATTCCCTCTGGACAGTTTCACTGCCCTGAGCTCAGGAACAAACAGTTTTCCTGTCTGAAATGCCGTTATCTGGTTGGTAAAGTCGCTGCTGTAGAGGCTTCTGCAAACTCTGCAGGCTGGGCAACCTCAGGTGTTCAAAAAGAAGGAGTCGGCCCCTCCCTGCCCTGAAATAATCAAACAAGCCACCCCCAAACCATGAGATCCATAAAAGGAAGGGTATGCACGGAGGGAGGGGGGTGCCTTGGTGTCTGAACGCCCCCTGGCACCCCCGGCCCGAGCGTGGGACAGGGCGCTGCCCCTTCGCCCAGCTTCAGTCTGCAAAGGGAGTTTTGCACCAAAAAGAAGGAGTCGGCCCCTCCCTGCCCTGAAATAATCAAACAAGCCACCCCCAAACCATGAGATCCATAAAAGGAAGGGTATGCACGGAGGGAGGGGGGTGCCTTGGTGTCTGAACGCCCCCTGGCACCCCCGGCCCGAGCGTGGGACAGGGCGCTGCCCCTTCGCCCAGCTTCAGTCTGCAAAGGGAGTTTTGCACCATTGCACAAGTTCTCACCCCCCCCCCCCCGCAATTAAC